TGCAGCCTCCTGGAACTTCGCATCCTGCCAGGACACCACGGTTCACACGTGAAGGCGCTGGGGTTTTGATTGGTGATCTGGGGGCTTAGCCCACTCTCCTCTGGGCGTGCTGCTTATTAAGAGATCCACGTTTAAACTGAAAAGCCAGCCCCTCCCCTGCCCCATCCCGTGAAGGACACCTTAGATTTGTTTCATTCCTGACTGGGATTGCCCATATTCCCTGCGACTTGAGGGCCCGAGGCAGGATCAGCCGGGGCTGGCGTGGGGCGCAGGAGGATTTGTGAGAAGCCGCAGCTCTTTCCGTGAGTGCGGCCATTTAACCTGCTGGAGAGGCCAGAGCACCTCACAGTCACCCGGAGGAGCCACCAGCCGAGGTCATGCCTCGCGGCGCTCCGTGGCTCAGTCTCCAAGCCCTGGCAAACCAGGCTCGGGACAGTGTAGACCAACCAGTCAGAAACCAAAAATAAATCCCCACAGACAGGCAGGCCAGCGAGAGAAAGAGAGAGAGAGAGAGAGAGGGGGGGGAGGGAGAGGGAGAGGGAGAGGGAGAGCGCGCCACGTGCAAGACGCACACAATCAAAACGGCTCCAAGTTCCGTGTTGCTCCTCAGTCACCAGGGTGCGCCCTGGAAGCCCGCTGCATTTCTAAGGAGACGATCTATTTCTCCTTTGACCAGAGGGAAAGAAATCATTATTGCATGATTAGTGGCTTCAGTTAGGTAAAAACAGCAGTGTCAGGGCGGGTGGTGAGGATGACTTGTATTAATTACCTAACGCTTGCTGGCAGGACGGTTTTATCAGTGGCTTGGCCACTGGCGGCTGCAATCCTTGATGGAAGGGCTGAGCTCCGAGCTGCCTGGGAGGAGGAAGGACCGGACCGTGTCAGGGATGCATCTCATCAGCTTTTTTCTGACAAACCAAATTCATTCCTTATGTAATTGATAACGGCCTCAGCCAATTATTTCACACATTACAATACACAGAGGCCCCCTTTACAGGTTTTGCAGGGCTGTAATTAGCTATGCTAATATCCCCTTTATTGGCCCTAATATTGCTCAACACCTTTTGCCATCCTGGAGCTCACTAGAGCCCCATGGTCTGTCAGGACCGCTGATTATTGAGAAGGATAGCTTTAATCAAACATAATTGCAGTTAATTTTTCTCTCCTGCGCTCTGTTGCCAGCGTCTAATGCCACGGACTCCTTGATATTCCATTAAATTACAATTAAACAGCCTCCTTTGTCTCTGATTGTCCTGAACAACACCACAAAGTTCTGTAGCCATTTAAAGGAGGGCTGTTTGGTCCTAATTGCCTACTGGCTCACAAAGGGCCAATTTACACAATACCCATGTAGAATTTAAACAGTTCATAATGTAATGGATATTACACAGGAGCCTAACACTACAATTAAAATGATTTTCATCAGATAGAGAAGCTCTGGTTAATCAGCTTCATAAAAGTAAATATAAATGAACTAATTCATAGCTTAAACACACAGAAACGGAACAGACTTTGAAATTAGTTACTGCCGTGGGGGCCTGCCCTTATCCTGCGATACCGACACTGGGCTCTGGCGAAATTGGCAGATACCGTTATCTGTTCTAGTGTCGTTTGAAATACCTTCATCCCTCGGTCGCCCCGTGCTTACGTTAGCTCCCAATTTGCTTGCTGGGAGCTGATACTAATGTCACGGAGACAACACTCCCAACTTTCTTCGCTGGATATAGGCGGCCAGGGCTCCATTGCAGCAGAATTGTCTCAGCAGGAAGGCAGGTCTGAGGATTTCCAGCAAGAACCCAAGCGATCAGGACTGGCTCTCTGCCCCTCCTCCCTTGTCTGTCCCTCCCAGGCAAGGGCCTGATGCGTCCCAGCCCATTGCCATAGGACGCTCAGGAGGTGGAGAGAGCCTTCCAGGACCAGTCCTCCCAAGAGGCATCAAGAACACCTGCCCCAGGGCTTCTGCTTGCCGCAGAAGGGGGAACCCCACTTCCAGAGAGGCAGGATCCCACCTTCCCTCCTGCTGACCATCCTGAGAACTTTCCCGGATCTCACGAGCTGCTCCAAGTGGAATATCACCAGGGAGCAGGGGTGTGGGGCAGTTTATCTTTAGCTGCTGTCTTCTCCTCTGCCTGCGAGAAACAAGTAAATAAAGCCCATATTTCAAGCTTGATTTACTCTCGTGCCTACTGTGAAAGATGATGACTCTTTAGGGAAATAAAGATAGGGTCAGGGAATTAGTACACATAATGGTCATTTTGGTGTCGGGCCGGCAGATGTAAGAGAAACACCGTACACAATTAAGCATAATGTACTAATGACAGGTTAGAATTTTTATCACCTCTTTGCGATCAGGCAGCAAATCCATGGTTAGCAGTAATAAAGAGTTTATTGGTGCCAAAGATTTTCTGACATAGGAAGGATTTTTCCTTTCATAACAAGAGAATTAAATCCTTTGTGTACTAGACTCTGAAAGTGAGATATGTAAAGTGGTTGTCAGATATTTCTTAGGAAAAAGCCAATTAAAGGGTAATTGAGTAAAGGATGAGAATTACCATTTAACGTCACATGTCGGGCATTCAATTTTCTACCCCCTCCCCTCCTCCCCAAACACCACATCGGTGCACCTTGCGGAACATTTTCCTGGTGGAAGCCCATCCACTGAGAGCGTGGTGCCAGGCTGCCAGTGCCGCCGCTCCACCCACGAGGGCTGCATTGAACTCCTTCATTAAAGAGGAGTCACTGCAAGAGTCAGAAACAAAAAACAAAACCAAAGGCACCAGCAGCCCTCTCCTGGATCTGGGCGGAGTCCGTGACTTGGGCGTTGTTTGTTTACTCTTGTGTCATCAGGAGCAGAGTTCTTGACAGGGGTCCTGCACCCCACCGATGCTCACTGCAGACCTCAGGTGCTTCCACTGACATTGCAGTTTGGAAAGAAGAGAGAGAGAGAGAGAGAGAGAGGGCAGGGGAGGGACTATGGGTGAACACATGTTCATATGTGTGCCTGCTTCTCGAACCCCATCATTCTCAGTGGGTTTAGGGTTTGTCCCCCGTGTTTGTTCTGTGGTTTCAAGCTGATGTTCGTTAGGACCCCAGGATGCCCAAGTCCGGCTCTCAGGGCTGTTGCAGGGCTGTTCAGGATACCTTCAGACTGCTTGGCTGTCTTGGTGGTAAAAGGACAAACGGGCTAAAAAGACATCAAGGAATTTAAAGCAACCTCCTCTGGAGTTGAGGAGGGGCCGGGGCTGGGGGGTGGGGGGAGGGGGGAGGAGAAATCTTTCATTTCACGAAAAAAGCCACCGTGGTGGGCCCCCGTGCAGGTACCTTTGCGGATGAGCAGCTTCTCGGCCGGCGCCTGCTCAGATTAGCCGGGTGGTAATGTGGGGATAATTGCACCGGGTGGCTGTCCCTGAAGTGAAAACCTAATTGCCTGACAGGACGATAACTTTGTGGCGCCCTCACCTTGTTAGGCCCTTTCTGATGCAGTTCAAATGCAGGGTGGCCGCAGGTGCGCCTAATTTACCTCGCTGCAGAACGCGTGGAGTTTAATTGCGCAGTGGTTGTTAGGAAAAATTGGTGGGTGGAATATCAAGTGAGTTGCTCCAGCTGATGGCAGATGGTGTTAAGAGCATTGTGAGCTAAGTGTAGAGGTGAGGTGAGTTAATAAAAGATGTAAATTCTAGCCTAAAATAGTGAGGACCGGGGTATGTCAGAAAATTTAATTAAACGGCCACTCTTCTTTCGCCATCAGTGGGATTTTCTTCTGCCAGGCTGGAGTCTTCTAGGATGTGTTGGAAATGCCATTAGAGAAACGAGTCTTAGGTCGATGGAGTCTTTTTTTTTTTTATTTTCTCATATTTTAAGAAAAAAGATTTGCCAGCATGGACTCTTGGACATGAGAGGTGGAAATCGTGGAGAACTTCATAAAACTTGAACCACCGACAAGTGGTCACATGGAAATTTGGGAGGACGCAGTGGGTTTGTGTGTAGCCTTGCCGGCCAGGACACTGAGGAGTGCAGGGCCCGCCCTTAACCCAGGTGCTGTGGCCTCTGCAGGCAGATGCACATCTTGTGCAGGGCCGAGGGCCTCTGTTCCCATGGCTGGGCACACACACACACACACACACACACACACACACACACACACACACACACACACACACACACACACACACACACACACACACACACACACACACACTCCCTCAACACCCTGTCAGGATCCTTGACTTCCTGCCATAGAACACGACAAGGCAAGGCATGGAGGCACTGGAACTAGCTCCCGGGCCGGCCTTGTCACCTCCTGCTTGAGTGCGTGCCTGCTACTGCCTACTCTGCCTGGGGAAGTTTCATAACCACATCAAGAATCAATGGCTGAAAACACATGAAGACCATACCCAGATATCACTGTAGCTGCAAAACCCACTTCTTTAAGAGTTAACATCTACTGTGACTTCTAAGGATCTGTCTTTATGACATGTGTGTGTCCGGGCTGGGATGGCCCCGGCTGAGCTGGGCTTTCCAGCTGAGGTGGCACAGAGCCAGTGAAGGGTCAATCTTCATAAACAGCATTTTTTTTAAAAGTACAGATTTGTTTTGGGGCATACCTATGCTCAAACAAAAGAAATCATGGGTTGTTTGTCCAAAATACACATTTAATTAGGCATCTTGCATTTTTACTGGCTGAAGCTGGCTTCCCTATAGAGGGTGGTTAATGGTCAGTCCGTCACTCATGCAAAGACCCAGGTCTGAAATGGCCTGTCAGAAAGTCACAGATGTTATTATGGAGCTTGGAAATCCACAGTGTTAGACAACTGTGAGGGTCGCTCTGTTACACAGGGATATCTTACATAGGCTGATGGGCCAGAGCCCTGCCCAACTGTCCCTTGGCGTCCCTCAACATTGCCCCCTACAGGAAACTTGCCACAGTGGGTGGGGTGTCCTTTGCTGGAGTGTCTCTCGTGTGATCCAACCCTAACCGAGTGCTCTCTGTGTGTTTGCAGGTTCTTTCTGAAGTTCTTCCTCAAGTGCAATCAGAACTGCTTGAAGAATGCAGGCAACCCTCGGGACATGCGGAGGTTTCAGGTATACCTGCCGCGTGTGCCCGCGCCTCCTGCAACGGCTCTTCTGGGGAACTGGAATTCTTTGGTTTTGCCCTTGTTCGGAAGGCAACTTTTAGTCTTCCGAGGGATAGTAGCAAACCAGATTTGGGTCAGTTGGTAGACTAGGGTAAACAGAACGCCTTAAAAATGACCTGGTATTTCCACGCTACCGGTTCTCGTCATGGCTCACCACCACAACCTGAATGAGCTGTGCTTTGCTGACTCAGCCACGCTGAATGTCTTTGTGGGATTGGCCTTAGTGAGAGGGAGGAAACGGTGGTGGAACCTTTTGGGTTTACTGGAGGTCTTTAGCCTCCTTTGGAAAGGGCACATTCCAGAATATTCTCCTACAGCTTCCTCTTCCTCCCCCCAAGTTCTGTGGTGTCTGACTTCCCGAGTTCAACGCCAAGCTGCTAGGCAGTTCCTGGACCCGGGTGAGGTCCTGTTCCTCATAGCCATGGAGGATTTTCAACTGCAAAGGAGAGAGTTGCTGGTTGAGTTCTCGGATTAGTTATATGAAAGTTAACATTGTTGCTTGCTTATGAATGATCAGGGGCTGTCCATGCCCCACCACAGAGTTGAGCAGCAAGCGGAAGTGCCCGACACCTTGCATGGGTTAGTGAGCGATTCTCACTTGGATGTGGGCTCTGTCTCCATCAGGGGGCTCACACGTTGGCAGGGATGTCATGTGTGTATCAGCCCTTCACGGAAGTACGCTGTCTCCCACCCATCTGGCTGCCCAGGGAGGATGGCCCCCGCAGGCTACCCCACAGTGGCCTTCGTGGCTGGAGTTAGCATTTCTTGCAGACTCTTGGGCCTGCTCCCATTTTTCATGCACAGGCTCCATGGGGCCTGGGCGATATCGATCCCTCTAAGCAGAGTGTAGGTCGCAGCGGGCAGCCCGAAGGGCCACGTCCTCTTTGTCTCACTTACGACCCAGCACAGCATCAATCACGGCCATCTCATGGGGTACCGTGGGGCCTGTGTGGGTGGGTGGGACTTCCTCTGGCCTCCTGACGAGGCTCCCTCCTCTCAGCAGGTGGAACTTGGTTGAGGAACATGTCAGGCCTCACACACGTGTGCAGCTGGTCTCACGGTCACAGCCAACACCTTCCCAGGCGGAAATCAAACAGCCAGTTTACTTTCTCGGTGCTGCTGTTTTCCCCTGGCAGCTGACCTATGTATATAGACGACAGAGCAATGACAATGTCTTTTTTTGTTTTCTATTTTGATTTTTACCTTGTCTTATTTCTTTACCATATTGTGGCCAAGTCTCTGCCTCCGTATTGGTCAGGTATCTGTATCACACACAGATGAATGGCTCCTGGAGCTCCTTCCACACCAAGAGTAGGGCTTGCAGGTAGGCCTCAGGAGGGCAGTGGGCAGTGAGCACCTTGTGGTCTCCAGGCAGAGAGGGCCAGACTAACAAGCAGCACCAAAATGGCAAGGTAGCTGTCCCCCTGCCAGTTCCGAAGACAGTGCCAGCGTGCCGGAGCCTGAGAGAGGCCGGGGAAGCCGGGACTGGACTGCCCGGCAAGTGACCAGTACTGGGAGCTGTGGTTCTGCTGGAGACGAGTTCCGTTCACGGGGCCCGGTGTTGGGGCGGCTTCTGCTACCCTGCCAAGCCTGAGGGCAGGGGGCCAGGGCAGTACGAACCAAAACCCCAGTCACACACATTCATGCAAAAGTGTGCAGCTTTGGCTTCTCTTTTGTCCTCAACGTATTTATTTTTGTCTTTAATCACTTCTATTCGTTAATTTTTAAAAATTACTTCATTAGTCTCATTTATTAATAGATTTTTCTCTTAGAGAAGCTCCACATCTGTATCAAAAAATTCTACAGTGGGTTTAGCATGCTCTCTGCTCTGCCCGGTGGCTCTCCCCAGAGTTGGCCTGTTATTCAGATACTTGGTACAATGCACACACCTCGCCCTGAAGCCCTACTGTTGGTTAGTGCACAGGAGGGAGGGGCTCTGTAGCCTTGGCTTTTGCCTTCCGGTCACTTCTTCCCTGACCCATGCTTGCAGGTGCTGCCCGCTAGGTCTACCTTAGCTGTGACCTGTGTCAGGTCTCTCCTTCTTCAAATCCAGACTGAAGCCCCAGGCAGGATCCTGCTGAAAGGCCCAGGTTAAATCTGAGCTTCCGTCTTTACTGCTCCAACCATGTGGCAGTAACACAGCACACCAGCTACAGAGAAATGTCAAGGTCAGGTTGTACCTGCTGTTTCCTGGCTCTGTAAGGGGTGCTCGTTACAAGACCACCTGGGGAACCTAGGTGTGTCTGGCACAAGCTAGGTGGTACCCTAAGGTGGGCCGCTTGTCATGATCTCCTGAGAGGTAGCTGAGAGTTTTGACAGGCCTGAGCTTCCCCTTCTCCCTGTTCTCTCTCTGGAACCGGGGGGCTAGAATGGAAGTGGCTCCAGTGTCTAGGGTCCTTGGCCACCTTTCAAATGAACTTGAGAACAGATACTTTTCCTGGATTGAAAGTGTTTCCACTATTCAAATTCAACTTGGTCTTTTCAGATGCAAAAATGTTCATTACCAGACATTAAATGTAATTGTAAAATTGACCCAAGGATCATTTGGTGATAGAATGTGGGGAGTGGGAAGGGAGGGCCCTGATTTATGAAGCCTTTTTTGGGCTACTCTGAATCCTCACAGCTCTTCAAGGGAGGCTGGTCTCAAGTGAACTAATTTAAATTAGATAAACTATCTAATCAATACATGAGCAGATCAATCAAAACAGAGGCTTTCAAATGAGTGGCTAGAGGGGTGTTTCTGAAGCTAATGGCTAGAAGAATATTTCTCTGAATTGAATTCACTTGTTAGCATAATAAGAGATTAAACCGTAATTAGTAGAGCGGGTTTTTGAAAAGAAGCAGTCTTGAGTCAAAACAACCCACCCCCATTAGCCAAAACAACGACAACAACAACAACAAAAAACAACCAAACCAAAACAAAACACCCTGTGAGTGGCTGCAGTCAGGGAGAGTTTCCAGGAACGGGAAGTTTTCCTCTGCTCTGCAGGTTTGAGCTAGCTTTTTATCTTGCCTACCAGTGCCCGTGCTTTCCTTTGCCAACTCCATTTTCAAATCCGCTTCATCTTCACAGGTTGTTGTATCGACAACAGTCAACGTGGACGGCCACGTGCTGGCTGTGTCTGACAACATGTTTGTGCACAACAATTCCAAACACGGGCGGCGGGCCCGCCGCCTAGACCCGTCAGAAGGTACGGCCCCTTCTTATCTGGACAATGGTAGGCACATGCTACATGTATTTTTTTTTTTTAAATTTGCAATGCTTCTTTTTCTTTGCACCATCCTTTATGTTGGTTCATGTGGGGTTCATGAGTCTTCCCACTCACTCCCCATTGAGGCGTGGGCTGGGCAGGCTTCCTCTTCCTTTATTGGACAGCTCTGCTTTGTGCTCACCTCATCTGCCATAGCCTTCATGTTATTGGTTTGTTTCTAAGCTTTCTTTTCTTGCAGTGTTTCTAGCAGTTTTATTTCTTTGGTTTTATTTGGCTTGTTAGAAGCTCCATCCAGAAGCTCATTCCCAAATACTTGGTGCATGCTTTAGTGGGTGATGGTAACCTGGTCCAGCCAGCTCAGGAGGGACTATGAGGATCAATTTCTGTCCTTCGATGATGTATACCTGCATGTGTGTGTATGTGTGTGTATGTATGCGCACGCGTGTGAACGTGCACCTGCACAGTAGGGAGGTGAGAATAAAGCATTTTGCCAAATGCTTCCAACTGAGGGACTGTTTGCATTACTTGCTAAGTGAGGAGGACTCCTGAAAGAGTGGCTGGAGGGAGGAAGGTTCTTGGACATCAAGCACTCAGGCTTGGTAGACCTTACACCAAGCCGTCTGGCTTCCTGCTTCCTGCTTCTGTAGTTCCTACAACTTACTTGTCCTCTGTAGACGATGACCCATTTCCTCTAACAGACATCTCAAAATATTTGCAAGACTCTCAGGATTCCAACAAGAATCCTGAGGAAGCAACATGAGTTTTTTTTAAATGAATTACAAACAAAACAGCATGATGGAATCTTTTAGAGCAAAGAACCCATAAAACTAAACAGTTTTAAGACAAATCCTCTATCTGTCTGAAGGTGGTGGATTCAAGAGCCACCCATAAAGCCGGCAGACACATACACAGGGAAATGAATGAAGCATGCACAGATTATCAGAATGAAATATGACTCCGACATAAAAACTGAAAGACAATTTATGAATCTGCTGTGGTCCACAAAAATAAACTAATTTGTTTTTCTACATTAATGACTAAGGTATAAGAGAACAAAAATATAATAATTAAAGGTCGCCTTGAGCACCAGAGTCATTAGAGTCTGTGACGTATTGTTTATCTCCTTCCTATGCACCGAAGGTAGGTGTGTGTTTTGCTTAGCAACCATCACTAATGAGGATCACAATTAAGAAGGTTGCGTCCCCAGTCCTCAGTTCCTTCTTTCCCTGGAGAGCTAAAGCTCGCAACACGATTGGCTCAAGGAGGACTCCTCAGCCTC